GGGGGGGGGGGGGACTGTTCAGCGATTTGTAGACATACAGGGGTATTTTGAACTGGATTTGAAGTTGAACCGGTAGCCAGTGCAGTGAGGCCAAAACTGGAGTAATGTGCTCTCTTTTGTCTGTACTGGTTAAAAATCGGGCTGCTGCATTCTGGACCAGTTGTATTCATGCAATGCAGGTCTGACTGATACCAAACAGGAGCGAGTTGCAGTAGTCAAGCCTAGATGTAATAAATGCATGTATTACTGTGTCCAGGTTATTTTTGGACAATATGGGCTTCAGTTTAGACAGCCTCCTCAGTTGGAAGAAACATGATTTAACAATCATGTTTACATGATTGTTAAGTTTCAGGGAAGGATCCATTATCACACCCAGATTAGTGACTCTTTGTTTTTCTGACAGGGATAGAGTGGAAAGGTCGATGCAGTTGTTTGTGATTGTGTCATTGGGAGGGAACAACATGACTTCAGACTTCTTTTCATTGAAACTTAAGAAATTTAAAGCCATCCAGTCCCTGATGTCAGCCAGGCAGTTGAGCAGAGGTTGAATAGAGCATGTACCATTGTGTCTTAGGGGGAAGTAAATTTGACAGTCATCGGTGTAGAAGTGAAAGGCTATGTTGTGTTTCCGGAAAATAGCACCAAGTGGCAGCAGGTATAAAGAGAATAGGAGGGGACCCAGGATGGACCCCTGCGTAACCCCCCCATTTAAGCTCTGTCGCTGTAGAACTAAAATCCTTGATGAGACATAAAAGGATCTGTCAGCGAGGTAGGATCTGAACCAATTGAGGGCTGACCCTGTGATGCCCACCCACTGCTCCAACCTAGCAATGAGGATCTCATGGTCGATGGTGTCAAAGGCGGCTGTAAGGTCCAATAGGACAAGCAGCACAGAATTACCAGTATCTGTGGATAAGAAAATGTCATTAAAAACCTTCAGTAGGGCAGTTTCAGTGCTATGGAGAAGTTTAAAGCCAGATTGGAATAGCTCTAAGATAGCGTGACCCTCCAGGAAGCACTTCAACTGGGACTCAACTATTTTCTCCAACTATTTTATATGACATATTATGTTGTGCCACAGGGGTTGTTGGGAAATGAGTGTGGTGGGGTTTTGTTGGGTGGCCCGTCTTAGAGGAGCGACATTCACCTGTTGGGATGCTGAGGAGCTCTGGCGTGAGTTATGGCCGAACAGTGACTCAGAGTTATTTGACATGAAATTATTGTTCCTGAATAAATCGCTGGCAAGAGCAGAATGTCTGGTGCTTGAGTGACCGCGTCAACTTTACATTGGTGTCAGATGTGAAACTATGAGCTGCCTCTGAACTTGCCGGTGGCGCTTATCACAGTTGGAGACTGATGTTGGCGGACAAGATTAAGAGGGAGGAGCTGGAGATAGAAGCCCGGCTGCATTCGACCGCTCACAGAGTGAGAGAAACAGTGCTGAAAATGTCTGCTAAGGCTGGATTTTCACCATGATTGGCTAGAAATTAGAACTTTTCCCGCCTTGACCGCTGTTTTGGCAGAATAGAGTCAAACTCGCATGATGCACCGTCACATGATGTAAACAAAGAGGGCGGTGCCCAGGGGCGGGAAGTAGCGGCAAACATAAAAACACCCACGTTCAATTGAAAGACACCATGGGAGGTGTTTATTGCTCAGTTTGAACTGTTAGCTGTTGCAGCTGGCTGGGATAAGGAGAATAAAGCATTGCAATTAGCTTTATGCCTGTGTGAGGATGCAGCTGCCTGTTTACTGCTGCTGAGCAAAGAGGAGAGGAGAGACTATGCTGCTCTAGTTGGAACACTACAGAGACGGTTTGGACAGTATAACCAGCCTGTGCTGCTGCGATCAGAGTTTCACAACAGACACAGACAGCCTGGGGAGCCCCTTCGTATTCTGGCCCATGACATCAAGTGTCTCTGCAGGAGGGCTTATGACAACATGCCACCTCCAGTGCAGGCAGAACTCACTCGGGATCAGTTCCTGCAGGCCCTCAGTCCCAAACTGGACAGCAGCTGGGTGGGACCCTGCAGTGTTCTGGAACAAGTAGGGGAGGTGGTTTACAGGGTGCAGTTTCCCCCTAAAGGCAGGAAGGTGGTCCTGCACAGGGACCCCTCTTTCCTGGAAGGACATGTGAAAAGTCCTCATGCCCATGCACAGTTGGACTCGCAGCAGGAGCTGTCTTCACCTCCAGTCCCTACAGTTCCTGTTGCCTCTTGGAGCCCTAGGAGGCCAAGGAGGCAACGCCAACTGCTTCCCCGCCTTAGAGACTGTTTTGTTCGTCGTGGCCGTCCCCCAGTTTCTTTGCCCACTCTTCCAGGTTTTCCAGCTGGGTTGCCTCCCTCAGGTGAACAGTAGTCGGTCCAGAGAATCTCCTTCACTTTTACCCCTGTCACTGTGAAGAGCAGTTGTGGTGGCCACCTTATTAAACTCCCTAGCCGTTACCGTTAGGTATTTAATTTATTTATTGGGGGGGGGGGAGGGGGGGGG